CTGTCTTCCACCTCCACATCTTGTCCCATTGGAAGATTTTAGGGACAGTAAAACATGAATGGAGATGTCAATGTCATCTCCTCTGATAACAATGCCTTGTCCTGGAATGCCTCCTGAAGGACCTGTCTCAGGGTGTTTTTTGTTTGTTTGTTTTTTCCCCCTTGAGACTGTTTGACTCTGTCACTCAGGCTGGAGAGTACAGTAATGTGACCTGGTCTCACCGCAACATCTGCCTCCCAGGCTTAAGCGATCCGGTGCCTCAGCATCCCAGAGTGCTGGGATTACAGGTGTCAGCCATTTCACAGCCTAATCCTCTTATTTTCTGGTTAATGATTTGGCTGTGCTTTAACTCTGAGGACTATTCAAGTTTTCAAATAACATGCTTGAATAATAGGCAATTTTTAAATGCTAGCTTACAGTATACTCAATATAGCCTAAAACATTTAAGAATCCTTTTTATGCCAATAGAAACAAAAATGAAACTCCCTTTTAAGCATAAAAAGGCACAAGTTTTAATTATTAATATCAAATTACCATCACCTTTCTTTCTAAACAAAGAATGTCTCATTAGTCTTCAGCTTTTCCAGTATGACTCATGAATTAATACACCTAACCAATCTAAATTATTCTTTGAGGGACAGAATGAGAAATGGACAGAATTGAATCTGTTTTTGTAGTACTGTATTGGGTTCTAATTCTACATTTGTCACCTTGGAGAACACACTTTTTTTCTTTTCTTTTCTTTTCTTTTCTTTTCTTTTTTTTCTTTTCTTTTCTTTTTTCTTTTTTCTTTTCTTTTCTTTTCTTTTGACAGAGTCTTGCTCTGTTGCCCAGGCCAGAGTGCAGTGCCATGATCTTGGCTCATTGCAACCTCTGCCTCCTGGGTTCAAGCAATTCTCCCTGCCTCAGCCTCCTGAGTAGCTGGGATTACAGGTGCCCACTACCATGCCCGGCTAATTTTTGTGTTTTTAGTAGTGACGGGTTTCACCATGTTGGCCATGCTGGTCTTGAACTCCTGACCTGAGGTGATCCACCTACCTCAGCCTCCCAAAGTGCTGGGATTACAGGCTTGAGCTACCAACCACACTCAGCCAAGAACAACTGTTTTAAAAGAAGTAGATTAAAAATCTTCTGTACCTGTCCTAAATATACAATACTGGTAATACCTGTTGTTTGAATTTCTAAATATCTAGTTTATATGCAGTTTTCAAATAGGCCTGAAGGACGTAATGTAAACGATCATCTTTTGAAGGGGAGAAACTGGGAGAAAAACTAGGTCTTGTCAATCTTTGCTAATTAAAGCATTTCTTTTGTTATGCTGAAGTTCCTTTATTACAACAGAAACCAAATTACTCTTTGTTGGGAGGTGGCTGTATGCTTTAAATAGAAAAACAACAGCTAAAGTGAAATAAAGAGAAAGACAAACTTTACTCTGATAGTAAATGTGGCTCTTAGCTTTTGTACTCTTCTGGTGGTGATCCTAAAGCATTATTTGAATAGTTTTGTCATCATGGCCCCATGATGAATATCTGAGCTGCTAAGCCTGCAGTAGTCAGTTTAAAACTAGTCAGTTTGCAGTTCTAAAGTGAGCAAAGGATTTGTATGCAGAACAGACACAATACTCCAAACAATAAGGAAAGACAATCAGTGTTGCAGGAAAATACGGAAAGAATAACAAACAGGAATCTCATACTAGTAATATAGTTAATTAATATGTGAAAAACTGGTCAAGTTTAATGTAGTTGTAAAAATACAACCAAAAGCAGTATGTTACCATTTTGTACCCTCAGACAAAAATGTTAAGTGATAACTTGTGCTTTTGAAAATTCAGGGCAACTGGCTACTCCCACAGTTTACTCCTGAGAGTGTTACTTGTTAAATCCTTTGTGGCAAATTAATATTGATTAACAGTTAAAAAATACATGTACCCTTTGACTTAGCAGTCTGACACTTGGCCTCTGTACTGTAGAAATGAGTACCTATATGTATGTGTAATAGTAAACTGACAAATGATAGACTACTGTAATAGCACATTTTCTCTATGAAAAGCTGGTTTTAAAACTTTGTTAAACGTATACTGTTGTGATAAAATTGAAAATTAGTTCAATTTTATGTATAGTCTTAAAAAACTGTACTGATAGCATGCAGTAAATTTTTGCAAAGAGAAACAGTTTTTAGAATTGCTAAAAGTAAATATTCATTAATGATGCTTGTTTTTAGACTGGGCATTTAGCTATGGAGACATTATTGTCCCTTACTTCTAAACGAGCAGGAGACTGGTTTAAGGAAGAGCTCCGACTTTTGGGTGGTCTGGATCATATTGTAGATAAAGGTATGATATTCACATGTATAATGTTTTTATATATTATTTAAAGCCTGAAGAAAATACTCCATTCACATACTTCAAAAAGTTATTTTATCAATTTGGAAATGTCTGTTTTTTAAAGTAGTGTCCTGCAAATTTCTAACATTTAAAGAAGAGGCCAGGCCAGGCACGGTGGCTCATGCCTGTAATCCCAGCACTTTGGGAGGCCAAGGCGGGCGGATCACCTGAGGTCAGGAGCTCAAGATCAGCCTGACCAACATGGAGAAACCCCATCTCCACCAAAAATACAAAATTAGCTGGACGTAGTGGTACATGCCCTTAATCCCAGCTACTTGGGAGGCTGAGGCAGGAGAATCGCTTGAACCTGGGAGGAGGAGGTGGTTGTGGTGAGCTGAGATTACACCATTGTACTCCAGCCTGGGAGAACGAGCAAAACTCTGTCTCGGGGAAGGAAAAAAAAAAAAAAAAAAAAAAAGGCCTTTAACATTTTGATATTGGGGGGTTATGGAAACGAAATAATTACAGAGTATGATATATTTCAAAATCTCAAAACCTAGAATAAAAAGTGTTCAGAGAGATTCCAGCATGTTCATAGCATGTGTACAGATGGCTTTTAATGTTAGCTAAAAGTATTGTATTGGTTAAGTATTGATGATAAATATTAACTTATGTTTGTTTCTTTTCACCTAGTAAAAGAATGTGTGGATCATTTAAGTAGAGATGAGGATGAAGAGAAACTGGTAGCCTCATTATGGGGAGCAGAGAGATGTTTACGAGTTTTAGAAAGTGTAAGTATGGATGACAATTTGGCAAAAAGTATTCAGTCTTAATTGTGAATGTGTGTGTAAGAGAGAGACTGCCAGATATTTTATATACTCCTGTGGGGTTCACTTCTCTTAATCCAGATAGAAATTGCAGTACATTTTTTTTTAGCAACCAATTGTTAATAAACAAGTTAAATGAGCAGTTTTTTAAGAGTACCTGTATTATTGCTGCAAATGAAATGTCAGACTTGTTTATATATACCAATCTTTCTTTTAAGATTTTATTATTTTTTGAGCCAAAATGTCACCCAGGCTAGAGTGCAGTGGCATGATCTTGACTCACTACAACCTCCACTTCCTGGGTTCAAGCAATTTTCATGCCTCAGCCTCTCTAGCTGAGATTACAGGTATGTGCCACCATGCCTTACTAATTTTTGTATTTTTAGTAGAGTTGGGGTTTTGCCATGTTGGACAGGCTGGGCTTGAAACTCCTGGCTTCAAGTGGACTGCCGGCTTCAGCCTCCCAAAGTGTTGGGATTACAGGCATGAGCTACCTTGCTGGGCCCCTCCAGTCTTTATTGTTTTTTCCTTAATGTGAGTTTCTGCTTGACTACATTGTTTGCAGATAACAATAGCTAAATGTGGTCAGATTTTATTTTTAAATTATTATTAGCATTTGGTTTATTTGATTTTATTTGAGTCAGATTTTTTTTTTCTTCAAAAATTTTTTTTTTTTTTTTTTGAGACGGAGTTTCACTCATGTTACCCAGGCTGGAGTGCAATGGCGCGATCTCGGCTCACCGCAGCCTCCGCCTCCTGGGTTCAGGCAATTCTCCTGCCTCAGCCTCCTGAGTAGCTGGGATTACAGGCACGCGCCACCATGCCCAGCTAATTTTTTGTAGCGTTAGTAGAGACGGGGTTTCACCATGTTGACCAGGATGGTCTCGATCTCTTGACCTCGTGATCCACCCGCCTCGACCTCCCAAAGTGCTGGGATTACAGGCGTGAGCCACCGCGCCCGGCCTAATTTTTTTCTTTTTTAAGACGGGGTTTCACCAAGTTGGTCAGGCTGGTCTTGAACTCCCAACCTCAGGTGATCTGCCCGCCTTGGCCTCCAAAGTGCTTGGATTACAGGCGTGAACCACCACGCCCAGCCTGAGTCAGATTGTTTATAAGCACTGCTTGTCATAATATTTGGCTTTGGAAAACGATACTGTTGAACTGCAGTAAGTATATTTTGTTCTTTGACTCTTATGAAGGACTTTAACCCAGTTCCATATAGATTAGAATTTATGTTGCCAGCTAACTTCAGAATGCATAGATTTGTTCACCAGGTTATTTTAAAAACATCTGTGGGGAAAATAGTGTAGTATAAATTTAAAACTTCTGGCATAGATTAAATGGTAATTATTCCGTATGTCTTCTACAGTTCTTTGGGAACAGTAGATAACAGATATTTCTTTGTAAAAATGTATTCTAAGTGAATCTACTTAAAAGCTTTATGTTATTTGTTTGCTATTTGTTATTTGTAAGTTAAGGACTGCTCTATTCTGACATTCAATGTGTTTGGCAGTTCGTTACAGTGAATATATCGTGTAAAATAAATCATGAATGAATAATAACAGTGATGTCTTAATTTTTTCATGAAACATTAGCTTTCTTATTTTACATCTGGAACCTGTGGGTTGTGAAATTATTCCCTTAGACAACAAGGACTGTTTTTTTCCTCATCTTTGTATCTTTTAGGGACCAGGCAGAGTGTGATGTTATGTCAATGAATGAAAGTTTTGGATTGCCACAATTATTTTATATTCTTCCATTTTAGGTAACTGTGCATAATCCTGAAAATCAAAGCTACTTGATAGCATATAAAGATTCCCAACTTATTGTTTCATCAGCTAAGTAAGTTTTTTGTTTATTAGCTAACAACTAACATTGTTACTTATTTTAAACATTTGGATTGACCACAAATGAAAGAAATTTGGATTAGCTTCCTTTATGAAATGCTCTATTGAGTTCTGTGAATTGGTGCATATTGTGTAACTAAAGTTTTAAGAGTACAGATTTTGGACACAAAATGTCTATGGATTCCAGCTTGATAATTTCAGCTATATAACTTTTGTAATGTACAAATCAAGCTCTTTACAAATGGGATAATAATTGTATCTAACCCACCTAGAATCGTTATTACAGTAAAATGAGTGAATTTGTATGTTTGTAAGAAATATATTCTTAGTAGATACTCTAAAATATGTGTATATTAAAAATAAAAACATTTTTAAAATTTAAATTATTTTAAAAGCATCTTTTGTATATTATGTCTGATATGTATTAATGAGTTAAATTAGTTAATATGCAAAGCCTAGAACAGTACTTGGCATATAATAAATACTGAGCATTTGTCCTCATTCTTGTTTTAAATGGACTTTTCTAGCCCCCTTCTTCTGCACTTTATTTAGGCTTGTTTTTCCATATCTGTATGTAACTTCTGTTCCACATTCTTTTTTTTTTTGAGATGGAGTTTCAGTCTTGTTACTCAGGCTGGAGTGCAATGGCGCGATCTCGGCTCACTGCAGCCTCCGCCTCCTGGGTTCAGGCAATTCTCCTGCCTCAACCTCCCAAGTAGCTGGGATTACAGGCACGCGCCACCATGCCCAGCTAATGTTTTGTATTTTTAGTAGAGACGGGGTTTCACCGTGTTGACCAGGATAGTCTTGATCTCTTGACCTCGTGATCCACCCGCCTCGGCCTCCCATAGTGCTGGGATTACAGGCTTGAGCCACCGCGCTCGGCCAATTATTCCACATTCTTTCTTCCCACACACATTTCATCACAATTAGGCTAATGCTGTCACCTCCATGCAGGTAAAATTCACAAGTATGTCTCCAGTCCTGGTTCTATCTTATTACCGCAGCCTCTTCATGATCTGTCTCTGTCCTAGTTCTTAATATCTGCCCTACTTCTCTGGCCTTTAGCCTAGAACAGTAACACATGAAGTTAACTTTCTCCAAATCTCTGCTTTGAAAAATAATTTTAATTTCCCAAACCTCTGATTGCTTATTGTCTTTGAATATATGTGCAACTTTCTTATTAAAGGAAGTTGGCCTTACCAAAGGCCCATTGCAGTCTTATTCTGATTTATCTGTTTTTTAACCTCTTATTTTGGAGGATTTCAAATATAAATAGTGTAATAAACTGTAATGTACACATTATCAATCATGGCCAGTCTCGTTTTCATCTATAACCCTATCCATTCCCCCCTTGTATTATTTGAAACATATCTAGATATTATCATTTCATCCATAAATACTTAAGTATACAATATCTGAAAGCAAGTGACTCTTTTAAAAAATATAACCCAATACCATTTTCATACCACTGATTATCTAGTTGCTTACTACTATTTTATGTTTAGTCAATATTCTAATTTTCAGTAATCTCAAATTTCTAATCTCAATAGATTTTCTTAATCTGTAGGATTTTTAAATCTCCTTTATTTATTTATTTTTATGTTTATTTATTTTTCTGAGATGGAGTCTCTGTCGCCCAGGCTGCAGTGCAGTGGCATGATCTCTGCTCACTACAATTTCCACCTCCTGGGTTCAAGCAGTTCTGCCTCAGCCTCCTGAGTAGCTGGGACAACAGGCATGCACACCACACCCAGCTAATTTTTGTATTTTTATTAGAGATGGGGTTTCACCATGTTGGCGAGGCTGGTCTCAAAGTCCTGACCTCAGGTGATGCCACCCTCCTCAGCCTTCCAGAGTGCTGGGATTATAGGTGTACCTGGCCTATTTTATCTATATTTAGCATTCTTTTTTTTAAAAAATAGATACAGGGTCTTGCTGTGTTGCCCAGGCTGTTCTCAAACTCAAGTGATCCTCCCACCTGACCTCCCAAAGTGTAGGGATTATAGGCATGAACTACTGTGCTCTGCCTATATAGTTAGTGCTCTTACCACATGCATTCTGCTTGTTTACTACCATGTTTTACCCTTTCTTACCAAGGATTATTGAAGTTAAATGGTTCTGATTTCATTTTCTTTTTTAAATTGACAAAAAAAAATTGTATATGTTGTTTCTGATTTAAAAATACCTCTTGTGTATACTTCATTACCTCCAACAAGTGCCTTGTAAATGGAAGTATTTAATATGACACATTTTAACTCTTTTGTTGTGATTAGGAAGTTCAGGCCAAATGTCTTGAAGTGACAGTAGAGGTCAGAATTGTTTGTAAAAGAGCACTCATCTCTAGATTTTTAAGCTTTTCAGCAGAAACCATGATCAATGCAGGGGTAGCATACAGAAAGATTGATTAACATATGCTGAACCTCCTTTTATCTTCAAAACCCTAGTTTAGCTCAGTCTAAAAACAGTTGAGTTACCAATGACAGTATCGTAATCCTGACCAGCATTAAATACCAGAAATACAAATTATTTTAGGTTACACATGAGGAACACCTTCCTGACCAAAGGGTTGTAAAATATTAGGAAACCTTTACAGAATTTCCTCAGTATGTTTTAAAGGGCAACTAGGCGTAGATTAGATACGATTTCTTTAAGAATCTTGTGCCATTTTATATAATGCATGAAGAATCAACTGACAGAGGCAGCTTACTTGATTTGTATTGAACTTAAAAATAGAGGACTTGGTGATTTAAACAGTGTCTTTAGAAATACTAGAACCATTTAGGGATTATATTTCCTTGTTATTTTGGGTAATATCTTGAGAATACTTGTATGTAGCTCATCCCCTTGGATAACTGTCAAGGAGACATGTCAGTTTGACCTTAAATTTAAAAATAATGATTATACTGTCACATTGGTAGTTAAGATAATAAAAATTATTTGCTCTAATGCAGATGAAGTATTTAATATTTGTCTTTACATTAACATTTGTTACATAATATTGGCAGTAACATTTACTACCTCAGAAGTGTTCAACATTAGCTCTTAACCGTTTTCCCTGTTTGAGAAAGGGTTGTGGTCTGTCTGTTGGAGAGATCAATAACATGCGAGACAACTCGGAAATAAAGAGATTACTAGGGTAAATGTAGGTAGTACAGATACAAACTTCTGCCATTAGTGTTTAATTTTTAACATTCCTTGGGTAGTTTTTTTAAGGTATCTGGTTTTTCCAAAATAAAGTGAAGTTTTATCTGATAGCCTTTAGGTTCAAGTAAATAGAAATATGTTGTGTACCTATTATTTGCTATAATAATCTATATTTTATTTTCTCTTAAGAGCATTACAACATTGTGAAGAACTGATTCAGCAGTACAACCGCGCTGAGGACAGCATATGCTTAGCTGACAGTAATAAGCCTCTGCTTCACCAGAATGTAACTAACCATGTGGGCAAAGCAGTGGAGGACTGCATGAGGGCCATCATTGGGGTGTTGCTCAATTTAACTAATGATAATGGTAAGATTTTTTCCATTTTTTTCTCATTGAAAGATTTATATTGCATGTGAAAACAAGTTATTTTTCTTTGTTTCTCCTTTTCTTGGTGTAGTGATTTTTTGATTTGTCTTAATGTACTTATGTGTAGGTTTAAAAATCTCTTTTAAGAGTTGATATTTCTATAAGCCTAGTAGCTTGACCTGGAAGCATCAACAGTATGTTTCAATAGAGGAATGACTATACAATCCTAAGTTAATATCCATGTTAATAAATCTGTTATTAGTGTCCTAAGGAAGAATCAGTAACAATTTTCCTGTATCCATTTCTTATTTCAGAGTGGGGCAGTACCAAAACAGGAGAGCAGGATGGCCTCATAGGCACAGCGCTAAACTGTGTGCTTCAGGTTCCAAAGTACCTACCTCAAGAGCAGAGATTTGATATTCGAGTGCTGGTAAGTTGAAATGACTTTTTCTGGAAGAGTATTGTATCTAGTAAGGTGTGCAAAATGTTCACCTTAGTTTGGGTTTAAGAACCAACCCTTTAATATTGTGGTTGTTTTCATGAATTTCCTTAGGAATATACTTTTTTTTTTTGAGACAGATTCTCACCCTGTCACCCAGGCTGGAGTGCAGTGGCACCATCGTGGCTCACTGCAACCTCTGCCTCCCTGCTTGAAGTGATTCTCCTGTCTTAGCCTTCCAGATGCTGGGACTACAGGCTTGTGCCACCACACCCAGCTAATTTTTGTATTTTTAGTACAGATGGGGTTTCGCCATGTTGCCCAGGCTGGTCTTCAAACTCCTGGCCTCAGGTGATCTGCCCGCTCCGGCCTCCCAAAGTGCTGGGATTACAGGCATGAGCCACCGCGCCTGGCCTTGTTTTCCTTTTTGGTCTTTATTTTTTGGCCTTTCATACTTAATGGTTTTTAGCCATTTTGTAGATGGTAGAACACTGATTTTCAGCTTTTTAGCTGCCAATAAAAATTATGTATATTGTGTTCATTTGTTTTAAGTACTCATCTCTGATAATACATGTCTCTTAAAATTTTTGAAGGGCTTAGGTCTGCTGATAAATCTAGTGGAATATAGTGCTCGGAATCGGCACTGTCTTGTCAACATGGAAACATCGTGTTCTTTTGATTCTTCCATCTGTACTGGAGAAGGGGATGATCGCATAAGGATAGCTGGACAAGTTCATGCTGTCCAGGCTTTAGTGCAGGTAAGCAACCACTTTAAAAACAAACTCATAACTACAGTTTGTTGCATTTGTCCAATTTCTTTGTCAATTGCACCTTTTATCCCCTTGTCTTGCGCTTCCACTGCTGGCCGCCTCCACCCCTACCCCGGCCTTCTTAGTTAGAACTCCTGAAGCATGTCTCTGCTGGGGTGGAAAGGGACTGTTTTACACCTGACCAATTTTTAAATATTCATACCTTCTAGGGTAAAAGCTTATTTTAAACCAGAATTTGTAATTAAATTAAAAATGTGGTACAGGCCGGGCGCCGTGGCTCATGCCTGTAATCCTAGCACTTTGGAAGGCCGAGGTGGGTGGATCACTTGAGGTCAGGAGTTCAAGACCAGCCTGACCAATATGATGAAACCCCGTCTCTATTAAAAATACAAAAATAGCCGTGTGCGGTGGCTCATGCCTATAATCCCAGCACTTTGGGAAACCAAGGCGAGGCAGGCGGATCACAAGGTCAAAAGATTGAGACCATCCTGGTCAACATGGTGAAACCCCGTCTCTACTAAAAGTACAAAAATTAGCTGGGCATGGTGGTGCACACCTGTAGTCCCAGCCACTCGGGAGGCTGAGGCAGGAGAATTGCTTAAACCCAGGAGGCAGAGGTTGCGGTGAGCCGAGATCGCGCCATTGCACTCCAGCCTGGGTAACAAGAGTGAAACTCCATCTCAAAAAAAAAAAAAAAAAAAAAAATAAGCCAGGCGTGGTGGCATATACCTGTAATCCTAGCCACTCAAGAGGCTGAGGCAGGCGAATTGCTTGAATTGAGGAGGTGGAGGGTGCAGTGAGCCAAGTTAGCATGTCACTGCACTCCAGCCTGGGCAACAGAGCAAGACTCTGTCTCAAAAAAAAAAAAAAAAAAATGGTGGTATAATTTCTCTGTAAATCAGTAAGAGGTACACTGCTTAAAATGTACTCTTACTTTATTTTGCTGTTTTTTTCTTAACTTTTATCACTCTCTACACATTGTTACCAAAAAGCAGAGACAAAAGCACATCTGTTTTATTAATCAAATTAGGTAAAGTGCCTCACTCCTGTAATCCCAGCACTTTGGGAGACCGAGGTAGGGAGGATCACTTGAATCCAGGAGTTCAAGACCAGCCTGGGCAACATAGTGAGCTCCCATCTGTTTTTTTTTAAAGTCAAATCAAGAATCCAGGCCCATCTCATTCACTTCACGTCCTCTAGTGTTTATTTACTGGTCTGATCTGTGTCCAGAACTTTGTTTAACCTTATGGACCACAGAAAACCAGAACTCCTTTGTCACCTATTTCCTTACCCACTCTGGAAAGTGGCAGAGTAGCCAAGTCTGGGAAATCCTGAATGAGAATGTTTCTTTGAGCCATTTAAAGTAATATTTTTCATTATCCTCTTTTGTTCTAATCTATTATGTGTGATTGAATGTTGACCATAGATAAGAAGTAGTTAATCACTAAGCTTTTCTTAGATTCATAATATTCAGTCTTCAATAGCCTTGAAATTTTAGTTATTTAAAATACAAAATTAAATGTGAAGCTAGTGATAAATTGTCATAACTTATCAGTAACAGTAATAGTAAATGGTAGTAGTAATTTACTAACAATAATTGGTAATTGACTATTTTTAGTCTCCAGATATCATTTAGAGATTTTATTTAATACTAAAAACATTTGGTACCTCCTGCCATGATCCCATTGACATACTTATTTTTCTGCTAAATGA